TCAGGTGCTTAAGGAATTTTTGTAGGGCAGAGATCAAATAAGCATATTTGCATTGAAACCCAAATTAGTATTCCCTCCATCAAACATCATGTCAGGCAATTCACCTGAACCTCTACTTTTTCTCCATCTCTGTGGATAGAATAGAAATGTCTGGTTAACATGTGCCAAGACTACCTGCCAGTGTCAGAGCTACTTCTGCCCCTCTTGGAGTAAGAATGAGCTCCCTCTGGGCTCACATGAACCCTCAGTGGCAGCATTTGGTCACTTCTGTGAAACCCAGGAGCGAACAACAATGGATAGAATTGTTTGGTCCCAATCTCCAGGGCAGAATAGGCTGACTGATGAAGCCAGGAGCAAGGACTACCCTGGTCTCACCACAGCACACTGCCCCATACCAGACTGTTTGATGTCCAACTGCTGGTACTGCCCATTTGTTTAGTCAACTAAGGATGCTGTTCTGCCAGGTAATGTGACACCAGTTCCTCAACAAAGAGTAAGAAAATAATCGGGAAGTTTAATAGCTTTTGTTAAACACCTCCTGTGCCCAACTGTGAGCCAGGAGTGGAGGTGAGAGGTACATGAAGAAAAGCACACGAGGCTCACCTTTAAGAAACTCCTATACTACTCTGTTACAAGCAATTCATTTAATGTCTCATTTGCTATTCTGTGAACACAGGGCCTACAAGTGTGAATATATTAGGCATTATCCCTTTTGGAAAAGCAATGCATCACCATAGAGAAATGAGATCTTTGTAGCAAGAGTAATAAACTAAAATATTTCAACTGCAGTGAGTATAATAGCCTCTTGTTAGACAAAGGTCTTTAGGTGCCATAAATTTTAGATTATGGAGTTTATGTAAGGACGCTGGAAAGTACTCTTGATGAATAAATATATTTTCTAAGACATCTGTCTGTGTGGTTATACAGATTTGAAATCTCAGCATCCCACACAAAAATGACACATTAAAAAGATTAAACTGTAAATGGGAAAATGTGTTCACATTCTTCATTACGAAGCTGTACTCAGACATGCCGTTTCAATTGGAAAACACAGCTAAATGTGCAGAATGTCTTCTCTGCTCCACATTTGCTGCCACAACAACCAATGTGGGACTTATCACATTAAATATTTCAATTTTTGTGTCCACGCAAGCACTACAAAAGAATAGAATGCTATTGCTGGAGCTCTTTTTCAACAGGTGTGGAATTTTACACAGGCTATTTATTTGATGTAAAGACTATGAATGCGACAAATAAAATCCAAATACAGTCTCTGTACTCCCATCCAAATGCAACACTCTATTTTGACCAAGTTAAGGACATTTTGGTTTCCAATAACATATGCAAAAGGTTTTAAGCATAACCTATGTAGAGCCAACCAATTCAATTAACTGAAAAATATTTATTTTTGTACCTACTTGTAAAGAAGTATGCATAAATCAAATGCCTTTGAGCCTTCACTCTTTTTTGGTAAACACACATTACATAAAAGATCCAGGCCTAAGTGTTGTTGGGAATCCAAAGATAAATAAAAATGGTCCCTTCTTTCAAAAAACGTGCAGTCTAATATAGGAGACATTAGTATGAGAGTAACTATAGTACCAGGGAGAAAGTAAAACATGCTTGAAGAGAGACATGCATCAAGGACAAAGGAAAATGAGAAAAGACTTCATAGGGGAATTGCATTTGTTTCCGACCTGGAAGGATGAGAGGAGAGGAGATACCACTTCAGACAAGAAGCAGGAAGGCAGGGCCCCAGAGGCAGAGCACACACCTGACAAACAGCAGCAGCACCAGGGAGAGCCCTACAGGAGAGAAGACGCTAATGCCAGAAAAGTAACCAGTGTCAGGGAAGAGAGAGCCTGGATTTACTGTAGGAAATGAAGTTAATTGATCAGAAAAGATTAACCCAGAAAGATCTAGAGAGTATATAAGCAATACAGTCCATCTGCACAAGCATTGATTATAGAAACATACTACCCATTAATAATACGTAAGTACAAATGGGTAAGCGTAGAATGGGCTTCATTCAGAGAATGAAGTTATTGTCTGTCTTACAGAAAATGAGAGCATCATGTGGATTTAAAGTGATACAAAAAACCCTGAATGAAATGTATTCTAAACTATATTTCTTGTGTATAATCATAACACATTCGTCCTTGTCACACAATGGAAGGTAGAAAAGAATCTAAATTGTGAGTTAAAACTAAGAAAGGGAGGATGTTGAGGACTGGAGAGTCCTCAACATCAGAGAAATTGATTTTATAACTCTACTTTATGGTTTTAAATTGTTGTCTGGGTTTACTGAAAAACAATAACAATTATCCACATGATATGCTAATTAGTAGCTGAGCAATTCAAGAGACACAGTGAAAATGGAAATGCTTTATTGTTTGACCAGCAGGTGGCACTTGTCACTCGTATAGAAAACGGCAGGTATTAAGGAAGGATCTGAACCTCGCAGTTCGGAAACAGCAGTTCAGAAACAGATTACTCATTCATTTACTCAAAAAGGAGAGAGTGCAACAGACTGTTTCAGAAGCACAGGTTATAAAGAGGGTCTTGGCTTGCTGACACAGCTTATCAATTGTAGAATTTGAACTCTCCTATTAGGTTAATTAGGGAAAACTTTTAACAAATATGATTTGCAATATACCAGTTTGTTGCCTGTCATTGCTCTCAGGTCCTTTGTGTCTGTAGTTATCCTGTGACATTATGAGCAGTGTTAGAATGAGGCAAAAATGAAACAAATTCCAACTTCCCCATTTAAAGATGTGTGACCTGATTCAAGTGATTGAACTTCTTTGAACTTCCCTTCCCTCTGTTGTTATAATTGTTGTTAACTAGCTGAAATGTGGTGCGAATTATGTAAGATACCATCTGTTGAAATGACAGCTTTGGACTCAGCTACTTGATTTTCTCCTAGAAGAACAGATCCAGTCATGGGAATAGCTCTTTTATCAAAATACTTTCTAACTCATTTGAGTGTTCTGTAACTAGGGTAGCCTGTGGGTGTTGCTCCTAGAAGTTAGACTTAATCACTCTACACCCCATTGGGGTGGATCAGGGGTGGAAAAGAGGCTGTAGTTGCTGATTTCTGGTACTAATACCATAATATTACCTTGCTAGTATTATATTCCTCCCACACATTAGTGACAAAAACCACAGAACCACAAAACCACAGATTTTAAGTTCCAGAAGGTCTTTGATTTACTTAGCTCTCATTTTTTAGATCTGGACAAGGCAGTAGGAAATGAGGTTGCACATTTAGGTCATTTTTATACTAGCTCCACAGGTCTGGTCAATGCAGTGGGTGAGTGGGCACTGGTAGCGGGAAGCAGGGAGAGACAGCAGGAGGTGGGCAAACCATCATTACATGGCACATGTCTAATAATTCCTGATAATGAGATGCTAGGCTTATTTTCACAATAGGGGCAGGGTGTGGCATCTGTGTTCTTTGAACTGGTGGAAGTAGGTTTCTGTTTGAGTACTGCTAAACTTTTTGTTTATATTTGAAACAGACTGAATCTATAAACCTGGCTCAACTTTTTATGAAAAAATCAGCTACCAAAAAAAAAAAAAAGAGTAAGCAGAATAGATGGCCCAAATCTATTATTCCATCAGCTACCATCAAAATCTCTACCTCACTAATGAATAAAACATCCAATCTTAAACAAACAGAAAGGTAGTTAAAACTTTATGATTGGCACTATTACTTCCAAGGGTCAGCTCTGGTCTTTATAGGGAAAAATAACCCAACCAAGAAAAAAGCAATTCAGGGTGTGCTGAATGCCTTCACCGAGCTGCAAAGAGCGGTAATCAAAATAAGGAACAGAACAGATTAAGACATTCCACAATGGAATACCTACTTGTTTATAAAAATAACCGCAGGCTGTGATACCTTTATTTCTGACCTGTTATCAAACCCATGGCTACAGGCTCTAAAATTAGAGAAAGTTGAGCCACTTTTAGGGGCGCGGAGGATGCCCTGGAGAATGTATTTCCGGAATGACTCTCAGTATTTTCCCTAAAAAACCCTGAGACTCCAGGCTAAAAGGGGAGGGTCAGCTTCCCTTTGGCTGTGAATCCAGGTGGTAGCTGATTTGCAGGCAGATTTCTAGCAAGGTGGGAGAGGAAAGAAAGGGAACCAGGGTAGAAAAAGGAAGATCACCTTGTAAAAGCCCATGAAGACACATTATAATACCTTAAGTCTAGGGGATCTTAACTCCCTCTCCGGAAAAGAGTTTTCTATTTGAATGAGCATTTTATGTCCTGACATCTAGGAAGGGGTCAGACATGTGGACATAGGCTGCTGACCTTCTCAAGTTCCACTTGAGGAAGGTGACATGCTATAAATTAGAAAATGTTAAATACGGGTACCGAATCCTTAAAGTAAACAGAAATCTAATGACTTTATTAGGTCAGAGATTAAAACCATATTTCTGCATGACACCTTTTCCTTCACTTGAAATTGTCATGGTTACCTACATTTACTGAGAGTAATGTTTTTATTTATTGCATTTTCTTAACTAAATATGATTATGAGTTTCTGTATTAATAGGCTAATATTTTTTTAAAAGAACAACTCTTTACCTTACAAATCCACCTTTAAGGAAAAAATAAAATGAGTCTATCCTTTGGAGTAGGACAGATCGGTGTCACAGTGACCTTGACCACTTGACCTTTAACATGCGAGCTGACCTCTTTGAGGTTCTATGTGCATTTGCAGAATGGAAATAAACTCCCCCATTCCTCACATGCTCTGCTGTGAGCTGGACTTAGGTATCACATGTATGGCAGTTTTTAAGAACTCTCCTCCCTGTTTGGACCCTTGGGGCACTTACACTCACCTCTAGAATAGTCCTTAGATCCAAAATTAAAAGAAGGAGGCAAAGGAGGCTGAACATTTCACCTGGGTACACCCCATCAGCCGTTTTGCACACTGAAATCAACAGCTCACGCATCAGCATAGACTTTGGAAAGAATTAATAACTGCTTACTTGCGGCTGCTGTTCTGCCAGGCGATTCTGATACCTTTGGACTGACTCTTGAAGTCGCTTGTCTTTCTCGTTTTTTGATGGCGATGCCGTGCTCATGGTGCCCAGGGGAATGGGAGGCAGGCATTCTTTCTGATGGCAACTTTGCAGTCAGCAAATACAAGAGGTAACAACATCAGGAGGAAATATAAAACTACTCATTGTCTGTAAAAGGTTATCCACTTCTACAAGGACTTTCTCATTGTGTCCTATATCCAAAATTTGAATATGAAGGAAGAGCACTGTATTGACCACTTTAGGTAATACTCGATCTTAAACCTCCAATTTGCATGAAAAAATAGCTTAATGAAAAAAAGAGCTTAATTCAAAATGTGAAAGGTAGTATGTATTTACCAGAATGAGAGACTCTTCATTATTTACTAATGCTTCATTTATCTTGCATTATCATGAATGAGTCCTTTTGCACAAATGTTTTTACATAATTAAAGCATATCTTATTCCTGCTAAACATTTTTCCCCAAAACATTAGAGACAGAGCAACATATGTCTGTCCACAATACACCAAATAATTTGGCTTCTGGAACTCACAGATCCTTTTTGCACAGTGATTTGGGATCACTGCAAAGACCAGTCAGTGACTGCTATGATATAATGTACTCACTGACAGCCTTGGGGGCAGGGTGGAGTTTTTGCTAAATAGCCCCCAGTGACACGCCCCCTGCTTCAACAGACTTCTCTCCCTGCTGCTGTCAGTGTGTCTGCTGCTGGTGATCACTCTGCTTCCCAGCCTTACTGATGGGTTGTTTCTAATCACTGGTGGGTTAGCACATGTATTATATCATCAAGTAGAATTGTGTGTAAATGACAATAACAGGCTGTGAAAGAGGGCAACCCTTGTTATGGCTACAAAAAGCAATAATGACTTTTGAGACATATGATTCGGAAGGTTTGAGGCTTCCCTCCCCCACCTACCTTTGGTTTTGTGGCTATGTTCTGGGAGCTGAGTTAGCCAGGCTTTTGAAAAATTGAGAGATTATATTGTTCACCTCAGTATCAAGGTTTGGCAGGGATAAGAGGTTCAACTCCCACTGGGCATGGCTTTGATTCATGCCTGAGTATGTGTTGTTAAGGTCAAAATGTTAAGGTCAATTCCTAGAGCCTGTGTTAAACATGGGTTTTTCTATTACGTACGTACCAAAAGGAGAGGGACAGGGCAAAACAAATGTATGTTAGGCGAGGAGAGGAAAGAGGAGGTTGAGAATAGAGAGAGAGCCTTCTCCCATCTGAAATAGTGCAAGAAACGTGAAGCAGATCAAGCCCACGATTTCTCTGTGTTGAGGGAGCTGCAGCTTACATATTTCCTGCCTCCACTAACAGAGAAGAACTATCATACAATCAAATTGAAGTACTATGGTGAAAAAAAAAATCAATTCCACCTACATATGGTATTTGTGGCTTTTCAAAGAAAGGTGGTAGAAAAGCACATCAGCGGACACCTACTGTGCATGCAGCACCCACAGAGCTGAGATGAAGACATCTGCGGGGCAGCACTTACAAGGTTTCCATGCATGGGAGAGAAGAACCTTGTGGCAGCATTAACATTTTATTCAGAAAAGAGAAATCACAAGTATTTTTATTAAAGTGAGATTCATTCACTTGTATCCAAAAATTTTTTGGAAATTAAATTTTAATATACAATTCAAGACATAGATATTTTTTAATATCCTTTTCAAAACTCAGATGTTTTTTGGCTCAAATGATAGTAATTTTTACTCTGCTGGTGATCCCCACTTTCAATGCAGATGAATACAGAGCTTGAATGTAATGAAAGCACACTGACAGCCCTTTCTTGGGTACTGTGACAAAAACATCTAACCTCCCTCCATGCTTAAAATGGAAAACAAAAAGAGGCTTTGGTGGTCTGGAAAAAAAGGGCTCCACTTTGCCCAGCCTGAGCCACCAACTCTGAGACCACCATTTGTAAAATGGGGTGTGGTGCCATCATAAAGGAATAGGCTGGAATGAGGCTTTCTCAAACGTCAAGGATGTCTTCAGAGAGTGGGTGTGGTTAGGCATGTTTTGCCTCAAAATCGTGACTTTAAGTTTCTGTTCTAGGGAGGCACCCTGGATGAGACATGGGACTTCTCTTAGCCTGACTGTTTTCTCTCATGAGAAGCAGAGAAAGTCATGGGGTCATTGTAAAGATGAAATGAGATAACATATGTAATTGCTGTGTAAAAGAGAGCTGTTATTATGTTTGCTACCCACGTTCTGGTTACACACATTGTTTATTCAAATTCTGTTCACTGGCATTAACCCTGCTGACAACTGGCAATTAACTACTGACAATAAACTATGTTTTCTGTAAATACAGATAATGCCACTTTTCACCCCATTACTCTGTCCTTCCATTCATCAAATATTGCCTAATAAATAACGATGCTCCACTTCTCATCACTTCACCACACCAACTTCATGTGACTCTACCCCGATCCAATGGCACATATTCCCCAGGGCTTTTTCTAGTAATAATCTATTTCGTAGTATATTCTCAAAGTGTGCATGGCCCACCCAGCCTACCATACTGAATCAGAGGACTGAGTGAGGTCATCAGATCAGTTTCTCTTCCCCCAAAAATCACCATATCTACTTGCTGTCAATGATCTCCCATAAAGGAGTGTCAGCTCTTATGTAAGTGCCTTTATAATCAGGAATTTTTTCTTTACATCTTTCCTAAAACTCTTGCTGTCTCTTTAAGCGTATTTTTGTCATAATCTTCTCAGTGCATATAAAATGCAGATGGTCAAAATTATGTCCATATATTTAAAGAATCAAGGACTTAAATTATAAACATAAAAAGACTTTCTGCATTTTAGACTTTTAAGGTCCATCAGTTTTCTGTCAACATGGCTAAATTTATCTTGGCTGTCATCGCAAGTGGCACTGTTTTGATGTGTAAAAGAGACAGAATTAATGCAACTTTGAAGCAGCGCTCTTTGGAGGCATCACCACTATTCAAGGAGAAGAGGGTAAGAGTGTAAGTAATAATAATTTAGAGTTAAGGAAAACTGTAGAGGGCAGATTCCCAGTTCTATGATTAGATCTGTGGAGAGGGGCCAAAATTCTCACGGCCTGTTTTCAAGGGGCCCCCAGTGACCAGGGACATAGCACACTGACCTTACAAGGTGTTCGGCTAGACCCAGAAAAGATGCAAAAGATACTCTTATGACATCTCGCTCTAGGTGACAGAAAGCTGAGTTAAAAAGAAACTGCACACTTGTTCAAGGTTTCCCAGCTGATGGAGCTACAAGTCCAAGCCCGCAGCCTGTCTCCAGGGGCTGACCTCTAAAACACTCTCCTGCACCGTAGGAAAAGGTCTTCGCTCACAGTAAGTGATTGACATGATTCACTATTTTTTGAGGGCTGGGGCTTACATCAATTTTATTTATATTTTCAAGCATGGCTTTTTCCACACATAAATTGAAAAACCAACAAAAACAAAAACCTTCTATTAAACAATGCTTCATTAAAAATAGTTATACTGACAATGAAAACACTATATATCAGACTATTAATATTGAAACTAGGCCAACACTTTATTCCTATTTAAATTTAAGTTCCAAGTTAGGGCTGAAATAAGGGTAGGAGTCGGAAGACCTTGGCTAGTGGCTTTACGAACAGGTTTCTTAGCCACCGTCTGGGCTTCGTTTTCACTTCTCTAAAAAGAAGAAGTGAGACTAGATCAGTGTTTTATAAGCTCCCTGAATCTCGAGGCCTTTTGCAGGGAGTAGAGAACAGAAATGTAAAGTGGATGGAGCCTTTGGCCCCCAGATTCCCAACCTTCAGTTCAAAGCAGGACAGTTCTGCTCTTATCTGTTTCATATATTTTGTGTCTGAAGCAAATTTTATTTGGAGGGGGATGTAAGGTTCTGCTGCAAACCAAGAAAGGGAAACTGAAAACCCCTGGATAAAGTGAAATCTAAGACCCCTGTCATCTGACGTTTTTTCTTGGATTCTAAATGTGATTAATCTGGATATTGCAGGTAGCTGGGGCTTTAGTAGCAGTTTCTGAATGTTTGCTTTTTAAATTTTTGTACTTGCTCTTTTTTTCAAAGCTGGATAAAAATAATCCAACAAGAGCTATTACCCTAATGTCTGTATTAGCAATATTGATTGATTTACTGAGGCCAAAGGACTAAGGGCAAACTCCACAGAGAAGCAATGCTTGACTTAGGAGTACTTTTACTGAAGGGGTATACTAACTCTTCTCCCTCCCCTAAACAAAAGAATGAGTCTAAAAGGGCTTATAATAACACATTCATCAATATTTAATCGGTCTTTTCCTGTTTTAGTCTGAACTTCTTCCTCCAAGAGCACAAAGCAATGAAATCAATATATGACTTAAACAGAAAAAGCACGTGGTCTAACAGCTCAGGCCCCCTGGAGACACCCTCCAGATAAAACTGCTGTGTGATAAGGCACTATGCTGTGTGAGAACGAACTGAAGGGCAGAACTCTTAAACTCCAGTCACAGTCTCCCGCCCATGAACGCACAGAGCTGTACACCCCAGCTTTTGCAAATCATTACATGCAGGTCTCTTTTATCTTGATGGAAAAGCACACGGATGAAATCTCTTTCCACAGGGGCAGGGGGCTAAAAGGAATTCTGGAGGACGACAGACACTAAGCTAAAATGTATCTGCAGCGGACTTTTTCCAGTTCCATACACATGTATTTTAGGAATTAGAAACAGATAAAGAATTTTAGAAAACTATCAAAGTTACCTGTTTTCCAAGCGGTTAGGATTATAAGCACAAATCCAGATGTCAACAAATTCTTTTTCCTGATAATTAGTAGAGAGTGGCAAGACTCTCCATTTCAGGCAAAGATCTGATAATCACGACAAAATCACACACAAGAAACACCACAGTCAGAAGTGAGTCCATCATAGTAAGATGTCGTCAGGTTGCATATACCAAAAGCATGAGGTACCTTTTGAGCCAAAGACAAGTGACTCCTTGATCATATTCCATTGTACTTTGAAAACTAAGCTAGGATTCTGTGAACTAACCTAGGACATACCAACCAATTATTATTACTGTTGTTGTTATTGTTGTTGTTATTGCTTAACTTCTTTTCAATTGGTTTCTGCTACTTTCAGTCAGAACAATTTTAATAGATCCCTCTCCACCTCTTCATAAACCACATGAAGACTGCCAATGACTTGACTTTCCCCTTTTCTTTGACTTCTTTGTCCATTTCTGTCTTTCAGTCCCTCCTTGCTTTTAGGACCAAGGCTCCACTCTCTCCAAGCTATTCTTTAATTTTTTTTTTACATTTTTTTCTATTGTTGTTCAAATACCATTGTCTCCATTTCCCCCAACCCCACCTCCCACCCCTGATCCCACCCCCCTTGGTTTTGTCCATGTGTCCTTTATAGATGTTACTGAAAACCCTTCCCTCTTTCCCCCCATTATCCCCTCCCACCTCCCCTCTGGTTACTGTCAGTTTGTTCTGAATTTCAATGTCTCTGGTTGTATTTTGCTTGCTTGTTTGTTTTGGTGATTAGGTCCCATCAATAAATGAATGGATCAAAAAACTGGTACATTTACATGATGGAATACTATGCAGCAGAAAAAACGAAGGAGCTCCTACCCTTTGCAACAGCACGGATGGAACTAGAGAGCATTATGCTAAGTGAAATAAGCCAGGCGGTACAAAAACCATCCATGACCTCATCTCCAAGCTATTCTTAATGTTAATCCTGAATTCCTTCCAGACACATAATTAATAGCTCTTAAGTAAACTCTACTCTCTGTTCATCTAAAATAGAGGCAGTATGCACTGTGGTGAAGAACCTGGATAGTTCCACCACTTAGTACATCTATAATCGTGGATAAATTATGTCTCTATTTTTCAGAATCATCATCTGTAAGAAGAGATTAATATTTCTCCTTATCTAAAAAGGTCACTGAGCATTTAAATACATAATAATGATAAAAGCCAACAATGCTTCACATTATCTGTGAAGGCTAATTTTATGTCAATTTAACTGGGCATGGGATACCTAGATAGTTAGCCAGGTGTTATTTTGAGTGTGTCTGTGAGGGTGTTCTGAATGAAATTAACATTTGAATTGGTAGGCTAAGTAAAGCAGATTGTCCTCCTAATGTGGGTGGGCCTCATCCAATCAGCTGAAGGCCTAAATAGAACAAAGAAAGGATGACCCTCTTGAGAGTAAAAAGGAACTTCCCCTTCCTGACTCTCTTCAGCTGGGACATTAGTTTTTCTCTGTCTTCTGATTCAAATTTAAAAAATCAGTTCTTCTGGGTATTATTGAGCCTGTCAAACATTCAGGCTGGAACTACATTATTCGGTCTCTTGGTTCTCAGGCCTTCAGACTCTAACCAGAATTAAACCAATGTCCCTCCTGGGTTCCCACCTCACTGACTGAAGATCTTAGAACTTGTTAGCCTTCATAATCATGTAAGCCAATTCGCTATAATTAATATCTATCTACTACATATAGTAGATATTGTATGTATATTATCTATATATAATATAGAACATAGTGTGTGCCCATCCACCCACCCATTCTATTAATTCTGTTTCTCTAGAGAACCTTAATATACTATCCTAAACACTTAGTAAACTTTACATGTGTTAATACATTTTATTTGCACAAAACTGTGTGATGTAGCTATAAATACTAACCTCACGTTATAAATAAGGAAACTGAGGCTTAGAGAAATTAAGGAATTTTCCCAGTTTCATGTAGTTCCGTAATACTGGAAACTGGATTCTGCTCCTACCTTACACACATCAGACCCATCAGGTCCTCTTTGGACCACTGATGCAAATCCTGGCCTGCAGGACCCATGTATGTTGTGGTTGCTCGTGAACACATGGACAACAGAAGTACTGTGGAGAAAAAGGGACAACATGGCCACTCTCTGAGAGAGAGCAGGTGAGACGGCCAGAGAGAGCCAGTCTCTGCCTGGACAGGCTTTTACTGCTTTTCTGGGTACATTACATGGCTACCTCTGTCATGAAGCCTTGCCTCAAGTTCTTCTTCTTCCCCATTTAACCCTCAAAAAATTTGTTCCTCTTTTATATCATTTATCTTAATTTCATCTCTATCATAATTATTTTCATGGTTATTTTAACCTCGTTCCCAGACCCTAACCTCATTGAAAGTAAAAATCAGGTCTCACCCACCACCACCTTTGTCTCCCTCACAGCCCCTTTATGAATGCAATGACTTGTGTATTTAGAAACTCACTAAGAGATTGCTAATTAGAATGAAATTCAACACTCACCACACTGCATCATGAATGGGATGGCCATGACTTGTCTTCTTTGATACTGAATAGAATCTAAAGACCTCTCTGTGTCCTTGTTATTCTGGTATCCAAATTCATTCCAAAACAATGTTAGATTTCTATTACCTAAAAAGCAAATCAGGCAAAGAGTAATAAAAGAAAATCAACAAGATTAAGATGATAAGCCAAGGAAAGTATAGACATAAATACATGTATTTACAGTATGGTCTCAGCTATGTAAAAACTAATACACAGAAATAAGAGATTAAAGTCTTAATGTTGGTTTTCTCTGAGTATGGGTGAAACTAGTTTTCTGCTTGTATTTTCTTACATTTTCCAACCTGTATATAGTAAATATGCAATATCTTTATAATAAAACTAAACACAATAGTAGTCACATATATATATTTGCAATAAAATACACTGATCTTTAAAACTTTTTTCTTAAGTACTTCCAGGAGGGATGGTACTGAATAAACTTAAAGGCTACCCTTAACCCTATTGATACAAATATTTAAGATGTTCTCTCACAGCTAGAGCTTCTTTACCTTTACTTTGTCTCTGGTTCCCTTTTCCACCAGTCTTTACTGTTTGTGCCCTACCCTCACACCAGATTCTCTACTCCCTCTTTGCTTAGAAACAGCACTTACCATGAAGGACCACTCAGCAATTTACCTCTAAGAGTCTTCCCTACAAACATACTCAACTATGGCCATATATATTACAGCAATATTTGAATAGCAAAAATAAAAAAGGGAAACAACACAAAAGCCTAGAATATGTAATGAATAAATTTCATTTCCAAACAATGAAACCTTTAAAACAGAGAATTAGAGCTAAACATATTGCTGTATTAAGATATCAAAGACAGTGTTTTAATTTTTTAAAAAGATGCCAAACAGCACACCTAATATAATCGATTTTGTGATTTATAAAAAGCATATACATATAAAATTTTGCTGAATACACTTTTTTTCCCTGAAAGGATAGAAGATTTTTAGTAGTAGATACCACTGGAGAAACAGAGGCTGAAAGATGGACAGGGGGAGATACTTCTGTTTTTATTTTTTACTTTCTGAACACTTTGAATATCATTATATGTGCATGCATTACTTTGCAACACATTTTAAAAAAGAATTTGTTTATCATTCTGTCCAATATGGTAACCACTAGCCACATGTGGCTACTGGGCACTTGAAATATTGCAGATCTAGAACATTTCATCAAAGAAATTCAAAAAGTGAAGTTCTAAATTATAAATCTTGGAAATAAAATACATGCAATAGGATCAGCAACACATCAACCTTACCATATGACTGCGTAATTCAAGCAAAATAAAAATAAACATCCCTACACCTTACTAATTGCATTAAAATTTAAATTCAGAATGCTCTCTGCCTGGAAGACCAGAAGGGAAGGGATTCAGCCTTTGAAAGAGAGTTTACAAGTGAGCTGGGCTAAAATCTGCCCTTGCACATTCCCAGATTTCCCACTGTCTCTTCTCAAAATCCCCAACAGTTCTCGCCTTAAATTCCCATTTGGATTCTGCTTCTTGGGTTTTTTGCAATTCAGACTTTCCTATTTTTGTTCTTTGCTCAGCATTTGGTCTAGACCCAGGCCAGACTCCATGTCTCTGCTGAACACCAAGTCCTGATACTTCAGTGTCTGGACAGGGCTTATGGAGACATCTTTGATTTCCAAATGAACTATTCAGTTCTTACTAAGTCAAGTTACAAAGTGTCATCAAGTTATAGTGCTTTTAAAAGTTAAAAGTGATATCTTCAAGTGCTATCTCTGGCACACGTTAGTTGTGTAATTGTGGAAATGAATAAATTTTCTTGTTTATAAAATGAGTGCTTCCAACAACGTGCCCACCAGGTTTACCATAAAGAGTAAATGTAATGGTACAGTAAAAACTATAGACTCTTGCAAAAATTTAAGTTGCTTCTGCATCGTACATGTCCTTTCTCTAACTGTTACTTCTCCCAGAAGACTGTGCCTTTCAAAGGAGATCTGTGCTTTGTAACTTTGAGTGCCCTCACACTCAGCACACACTCAGCAGCCTGCAACCAAGAAGCCCCCTGAAACTACTGTTGCTATTCTTGACAAAATACCTCACTAATGGATACTTCAGGATAACGTGAAGGTGAAATAATGTGTCTCCCTGAAAACATTAACTAAGCATGTTAACACAGCACACCTAACTTCTAAAACGAATGTCAACCGTGAACCCGGACAAAAACATTTTAAGAGTGGGAACTACTAGGATGTTAGAAACGTAAACACACACTCCTCAAGGGTGGAGTGATACATGCTCTGTGATCACACCACCGCTACAGCACTTACACATTGCATTTAGTTTACTTTGTGCCTATTTCCCCCTCTGGATAGTGAAATCCTTGAAGACAGTGGTAACGTTTAGGATCTTGTTTTCAGAAGCTGACAGAATGTAATGTTTACTTACAGGACTAAATGTCACTAAAGGATTACTGGCTATCAAAGACAGATACTAAAACATTCACTACCCCAAACACCTGCTGACCAGGCCAGACAGATGATTATACTACTTGAGGCAAGTATCAGGGCAAAGAAATAAAGTTTTATACTCGAGATCAAGAATGGGCTTTCCTAACTGCCAATGAAACCTTGACTTTTTCTCTTCAGATAAAAGCTAGTCCAACATGCACAATTTGTAATTGTGTTTAGGGTGTTACTGATGTTACTGAAACAAATTTCCACAGAATAGACCCTGAAGACTAGGTAGATGATTTAGCAAGCAGACAAGCAAGTTGGCCAGAGGGAAGGCAGTAGGAGAAAACGTATCACGCCAGTTTCTACTTTCTTTTATGTGTTACTCAGTCTGTAGAAAAGAAGTCCTCATTAAGAAAAAAAGAATTTCTCCCATGCAAGGGAATTCCCTGCCCATCAGTCTCTCAGCAGATTTTTGCAGCAGAAACTTGCAAATTAGGAGAGAGTGGGATGATATAATCAAACGGATGAAGGACTAAAAAAAAAGAAAACAATTCCAACCAAACATACTTAATCTGTCAAAGATGTTCTTCAGAAATAAAGCAGTAAAGAATTTTCCAAACAAACAAAAGCTCAGGTAGTTCACTACCACTATATCTGCCTTACAGAAATGCTAAAGTGAGTTCTCTAAACTGAAATGAAAGGACAATAATCAGTAACCTGAAAACTTAAAAACATAAAACTCACTGGTAAAGGTAAGTATATAGTCAAGTTTAGAATACTTTAATACTATAAAGGTATATAAACTGTTTAACTCTACAAGACAAAAGTATTACAATAAGTATTGCTACAATAATTTCTTAAAGGATATATGTAAAGTATGAAAACATGTAAACTGTGATATAAAAAGCATAAAATGTGGGGGAAGTAGGGCAAAAAAGGTAGTTTTTATAAGTAAAGTTAAGTTGTTATAAGTTTAAAATAGACTATTATAACTACAAGATGTTTTATGTAAACCTCAAGGTAAACACAAAGCAAACTTATCATAGATACACAAAAGAGAAAGATTAACATTCTGTCGTGTGAAAGCATAACACTACAGAAAATTATTGTAATGCAAAGGAAGACAGCAAAAGAGAAAGAAAAGAAAGAAAAAGAAAGAAAGAAAGAAAAAGAAAGAGAAAGAAAGAAAGAAAGAAAGAAAGAAAGAAAGAAAGAAAGAAAGAAAGAAAGAAAGGAGAGAAACTACAAAACAGCTAGAAAACAGTAAGATGGCAATAGTAAGTCCTTATCTACCAAAATTACTTTAATGTAAATGAATTAAATTCTCCAATAAAAAGACATAAAGTGGCTGATGGATAAAAACAAGACCCAATTATATGCTGTCTACAAGAGATTTACTTCAGTTTTAAGTACAAGCATAAGCTCAAAACAAAGGGACAGGAAAAGATATTCCAGGTGAATGGAAACCAAGAACTATACTTACAACAGACAAAATATACTTTAAGTCAAAAACTGTAACAGGAAACAAAGATTATTATATAATGAAAAACATATCAATTCACTGAAAGGATATAATTGTAAATATATATGCATCCAATATCATAGCATCTAAAAATATTAAGCAAATATTAACAGATCTAAAAGTAAAAATGAATAGCAATGTAATAATAGTAGGGGACTTCATTGTCTCACTTTCAAAGTGGATACATCATAAAGCAAGAAAATCAAAAGAACACTATAGACTTGAACCATCTTTAGGTCAAATGAACCTACCATACACACACACACACACACACACACACACACAATATTTCATCCAATAGTAGCAGAGTACACATTCTCCTCAAATGTACATGGAATATTTCCTAGGATGTACCATAGGACTGGTCACAAAACAAGTCTTAACAACTATACAAAGACTGAAATCATGTCAAGCACATTTTCTGAAAATATGGTATATGGTATAGTTACTTATAACTATAAATCACAGGAGAAAAGCTGGAAAATTCACAAATATGTAGAAATTAAACAACATACTCTTGAATAACCAATGGATCAAAGAAGAAATCAAAAGAGATGTTTTAAAATATACTGAGATAAATGAAAATGGAAAAAGCATACCAAAATTTATCAGATGCAAGAAAAACAGTTCTAAGAGGGAAGTTCATAGTGATAAACAACTACATTAAAAATAAAAAGATCCCAAATAAGCAACCTAACTTTACACTGCAAGGAACCAAAATAAGAACACAGTCAGTCCAAAGTTAGCAGAAGGAAGAGATCAACAGAAATAAAGCAGAAATAAATAAAACAGAGACTAGAAAAAAAAACAACAGAAAACAACAATGAAACTAAAAGCTGCTTTGTGAAAAGATAAAATTGACAAGCCCTTAACGATATTAAATAGATAAAAGATTGAAAACTAAATAAAGAAAATTGTAAAAGTGGTGAAAGTGGACAACCTTGTCTTGTTCCTGATCTTAGTGGAAAAGATTTTAGTTTTTGCCCATTGAGTATGATGTTGGCGGTACGTTTCTCATATATGGCCTTTTTTATGTTGAGGAATGCTCCCTCTAGTCCCACTTTGCTGAGTGTTTTTATCATTAATGGGTGCTGTACCTTATCAAATGCTTTTTCTGCATCTATTGATACGA